ACAGCAACCATGCATGTAATACATGTTAATAATGACTCTGATTTTATATATATAAAGCCAGACAGCAAAAACACGGCAGCTCACACAGCAATGCAGTTATACAGTTCTAGAAACAGTTCTAGAAGGGGATTTTGGATTTACAAAATTTTCATACCCAAAAAACGCGACTAAATAAGCTAAAAGGAAGTATTTGGGTGAACACAGAAAGAGAGGCACTCATTCATTTTTCAGTCTGAATGTACCACGCTCTCTATTACATCTTTCCATAATCACCCACACATATATCTTGGCAGCCTTTTCACAGCTCTTTCTCTATTCCAAAGCATTTATAGCTCAGCAAAAAGATTCACATTGCCACCTAATTGCCAGTCCTGTCTACTTGAAAGTCAGATTATTCATTTAGTTGAATTTTTTATTCACTTTCTGGCTTCCAAGTCTGTAGTATTTCTCACAGATAGCAGATATTTTATTTGCACTCCACAGGTTGTCACTATTCACATCTATTATACAGGCTGTCACAGAGCTAGAGGGCCTGCTCATGCCCCTATACCCTCTCCTGTTAGGCAGTCTACAGACAAAAAATAGAAATACAGCCCCTGCTTGAAGAAGCCTGTACCCCTGGGGAGCATCTTGTTCTGGGAGTGGATTTCACAAAGTCATGTTGTGCCCCTGTATCTCCTGTGCTGTGAATGGAGTAAATGTGCACTGAAGAATGGGTTCACAAGAGCATGCTGACTGAGGGCAATACCTGAAGTGGGCACTAGCACACTAAGAAAAGGTTGTGGCTGAGATCCAACTTGTTTCCTAGACTGATGCCTTGTCATTCTTTGGCTCCATAAGTGTTCATTACTAAGGCATCTATTCAAAGGAGATGGAGAATTTAAAGAAGTGGCAGCCAACATAAAACTCACAATGAAACGACATTGGGTGACAAGGCTCTTTTCAGTTCTACTCAGGTGTAGCTATGTGAATGTAAAACCAATGGGAATGAGAGGAAACACAGGGCCTCAAAAGCGGGCAGATATTCACAATCTATTGATCCTTGCTTGAAATTCCAATTCTGTCTCTTTCAGCCATGCTCACAGATAGACTGTAGATAATAACTCCTAAGAAAGACTGAAGAAAAAAAGAAAGTATTTTGTTATGGAGTCAGTTTGAAGAAAGTGGCATCTGATAGAGGCAGTCCTCTCAGAGAAAAAGAAGCTAAATTCAGCAGTTATGTTATTTGTTGCAAACAAATCTCTGTTATAATAGCCACAAAGGCAGTCTGCAATGTTGACAGCACTTATGCAGATGAGAACTGTGCAAGAGATTGATAAAGTGCTGAAAGGTGAAGCTCACACTTAACTGCTTGATGACAACTGTGGATCTAATTGTTTCAATGTGTTGCATCCCCAGCCATCTGCAATCCTCAAAAAACACAGTGGCAAAATACTAAACACAGTGAACTTCAGAGTCTTTAGAGCATGATTTGCTTTGGTTTGTTGTCTAAAAAGAGACTTCACTAAGGCTGTGAAAAGTGATAAAGGACTTGTATGTTCAAAAAAAATGGCATTCATAAAGATAAACTGCTGAAGGGAATTACAGTGCTTAGAACGTTCAGAAAATTACTCCTAAAACCTGCTACTGACCAGCAAATGTCATACTGTTCTATAGCGTCCTCTAAAGCCAAGTTAAGACAATGGGATTTTCTAGAGTTAATCTGTTGGGGTCTAAAGCAGGTCCAAGCTGAATTCTGCCATTTCTCTGGTGACCAGTTGGCCAGTCCTTCTATTTAGCTAAATGAAAGCTTACCTTCCTTTGTCAGTTCTCAGACGGTGCTCTGTCAGGTGCTCTGTCAGATGAGAATATAGTGTTCAGGCTGCAGAGGGTTCATTGGCTTTTTACTCCTTACAGGACTATCTGCAGAAGAAGAGTATGGCTTTCTTGATGGAGTGAATGCAAGCTTAACAAAGCTGAGCTGAATTTTGTCAGCCATGAAAGAACCTAGTGCTGTACAAAGTAGTTCCAATGATGAAATCTTTCTGGTCCATTTCTGTTTTTCTGACTTCTCTCCTTGAGCCCTTTAAAAAGTGTGCCCAAGGAAGGGTAGCTAAGAAGAGAAAGGTGGGAAAATTAAATGATTAATTTTAAAACAGAAAAAATGTTGTAAGAGGTTGGATCCTGAAGTGGTACAGGAACAATCTGTGCTCAGAGTATGTAGGCTCCATCTTGGACCATAAACCTAGAAATAAAGCCCCTCCTGCATCAGGCATCTGTGAGTGAAGCTGATATTTATTGAGACTGCCAAATGAGATTCCCTGGAAGACATTTCTCCAGTCCATCTTGGAGAGAGAAAAAGAGAGTACTGGAAAGTAGTACAATGACAGTATGCAGCTAGCTGAGAGTTAAGGTTAGATATGAAAAGAGACAAGTTTTGATTCCCCACAAACTCTTCCACCCCAATGTTCACTTTCTGTGCAGCAGGGAGAACATGAAATTCAGAACTGAACAAATTGTACTGATTTTCCCCTGCTATAGATCACTGTCTTTATGCCTTACGTTAGTGTCGGACATGAGCTCATGCCTCGCTGTTACGATTTTATGCTCAGAAATTTCATATCACATCCATCTAAATCCTGCTAGATATTTGCTTTGTTTTGGCTTTTAGGTTTTATTTACAGAACATTGTTAAATCCATAAGTTATCCTTCCCATCTCCGTACTTGCAGCAGCTTTTTTTCTGTGGATGTCAAAGCAGGAGTCTCTATGTCATTTTAGCTGAACCTGTCACTAAAATTTAACCAGCAAGAAAAACAAATATACAAAGAACTACCTATGTTTATGCTGAAAACCAGGGGGTTGTTCTCTAGCAAAGTAGGTTGAGAATGTAAAGTTCATAAAGTAGTGCAGCCAAGGCTTTCAGAGGGTGCATTTTACATTTCTGTTTCTAGTTATTTGAGGTTCAAGAGGTGCAGTCACAAAGCCTCAGTCAAGTGAGCAAAGTCCCAATAAATACGTTGTGAAGTAAAACAGGGCAGTGTTGGTTATATCTCATACAGAGTCAGGTTGGCTTGGTTCTTTGTGAGGAATGGTACTGAGGCATAAAAGAGATAATTGATAGAAAAACAAAGGAGCCACTTTTCAAAGTAAACTGAGCCCCTCAACAGCCATTTTTAATTATCTGTTTTTGTGGCATAGTTTCAGAGCTCTGTATGTGCAACCAAGGTTTCAAAACAGATTTAGCTTCCCTGCTTATGCAGCTCAGTTACATTTTCCCAATCACAAGGGCTTTTTGAATGAGGGGAGTTAGAATCTTGTTGACAGCACTTTGGTTCCAGAAACTGAAGTTATACATTTTCAGGGTATATTAAAGGCAGAAGCTTTGATTAAAAAAGGACAGATGGGTCCTGTCTGGTGCCTAAGAAATGATGAAAGAAATGTGGCATACTTACAGTGCATCTAACTCCTTTCACCTTGCCCTATACTGTTTCCCCTTTATGGAAAATTTCAGTATGGCTTTGAACTACTAGTTCCTTTTCTCCAAAGGGAGATTTTTTTTACTAGGAAAGACCATGGGCTTCTTTTTTTTTTTTTTTGGTAATTATTACAGAGTTTAGGAAAGTTTCATTAGTTTCATCCTCTACAAAAATGCAAAACTTCTGTATGTGAAGCTTTAAATTATTACAGATACTTTGCTCACCCTGAGCTGAGATTGCTAGACACTAAACCTTAATAAGGCATGCAGTTATTCTAATGCAGATCTACCCTCACACAACACAACCGCACTGAACTGAACCCTGAATGTTACATTCCCAATCACAGTGGGGGCTTTTTATGTTGTTTCCACTGAAGAACTTCAAAGCCCTCTTTTCTTCCCCACTGTTTTTTTTTCTCTCTGAATTAATGTAATCTTGTTTGCTCGCGTGTAAAACACTTGTTTTCATTGGAAGGAATTTTTTTGAGTAACTTTTCTGCAAGCACTCTAGTGTAAGGATATTTTTTAAAAAAGTTTAAAAACATGCTAATCCTATTGGAAGGTGGTGGTGGCGGCAGGTTTTCCCTTTTCCAGTGTGGACAAAAGTAGTGCTCTATCTAACATAACAGAAGACAGAAGTAGATATTAAACTCTTCCATTTTCACAGATGGAAATTAAGACAGCAAAATTAATTTTCTTGTGCTCAGGGCCAAGGCCACTCATCATGCTGGGATGCTTAGATACCTCCCATTCCTTTTCTATAGCTAAAGGCACACAAGGGAATGACATGACCAGCATCACAAATACATTCAGTTGAGTACTCTTCCTAAAAAAATTATGCATTCATATACCAGGACTTCAGCATCAGTTCACAGCAGAACTCACAGCTCTGAATTCACAGCAAAACCCTCTGTATCACTGCCTTCAAACTCATAACAGTACCTTTAGTATAGAGGACCAAGCGTTAAGAGCTAGCACTTCTCCAGTTCCAGTTTCAGCTCACCACGGATGCATCAGCAGCACATAGGCTTTTTGTGTATCTTCTTTGCTGGAGAAATTTCACAGACCAAGACTGAGGGGTCAAAAAGAGAAAAGGACGCCTACAAGTTACACCTCTCAGCTTCGGCTGGAATGAGGAGGCAGACCCATTTCCCCATGTAATAGAAGCACACACATATTATTTTCAGAAGTTGCAGCAAGATGCTTCTACTGAGGTTTCATTGACCGTGCTCCCTCTCATGCTTCTTCTCACACTCCTTCTATCACCCCCCCTGTGCAGGCAGAAACTGGCAAATCGCTAAGGTCTCTAGGATTCCTAAGTTTGTTTGCTTTCAGACTATTCAGGAAAGTGATAAATGGGGCTTATCCTAGGTCTTAATGGAACAAAATTCATATTTTATCAGAGAGGTTTGCTTATGTCACAGCTGAAATAGCAGATACGAGTACAATCGTAGCTCTTAGCACTTTGTTCTACACTTAGATATGCTTTCTGGAGTGCTGAGTTGTATTGGGATCACTGGAAATTGGCTTTTCAGTTCATCTCACAAGAGGCACAGCAAAAACTTGAACATGGGTCCACAGTCTCCTAAGGGAGAGCTCTGGTACACACTGTTTCACTAGCCTTAAGCACTACTGAAGAGAACAACCTTCATGCTGAACAGCAAAGGAGTATCCTTACAGGGCATACCTGAAATTTTGGCCAGGCCGCAGGTCTCTTTTATTCACACTTTAAAAAGTGAAAATCATTTCTTTGCTTCAGTTTGATTTTTGTGACTCAAAAACAGTGTGAAATCAGTAATCCAGCTATGAGCTTTTCTACAAGCTCAGTCACTGTGGCTCTGAGGGTCAAGAAAAAGCTCAGATGCTCAGAGCATCTCAGTATATTGTATAGAAGTGGACATTATACTTTCAGTATGTGTCGGAGAGACTGCGGAGCCAGTTAGCAGGAAACCGACTTGTTCTCATCCGCCTTCCAGGTGAGTTGAAACTCACCGTCAGGACTGTTGTAGTACAGCTTTCACAGAACTTTTCCTCATAAATCTGACAATAAGTGAAATCTTCACAGTTGTCACTGGATTTTTTACTGGCAGTAACATTCATTTGCTCTGAAATTAAACACACCTGTCACTAAGGTTGGTGAATGGCTGTTGGTGAATGGCATTGGCGGTGATTTTTCCTAAACAACTAATTTTATCTCCTTTCTTATTCCTTTCCCTGCAGTCACTCACTATGGCACCAGTTCAGGCAACATATGCACCACACCTGGATGTGTTACAGCAGGTAATGATTCTTATTATGAATGATTACTGCAGAGGTGATGTTTTACCTGCTGTTAGTTCTACCCACCCTGAATAAACAATAGATCAGGCACTAAGACTGAAGAAGTTTGTAAGGAATGAAACTTTCCGTTGGGGCAGATGCACATTGTTATTATTTTCTCAGGCAGCAAGTATAGCTGTCCTCTTTTGTTCTCCATTGTATTACTTCCTTTGTTGCCAGGAATATCGTACATAAAGAAGTAGAACATGAAAATTTCCAGTGTGGTCAACAGTCCTCTGGCTTTAGCCTGAGCCATAAGGATGTTGATAACCAACATAAGTCATCCATAAAGCAGCACAAAAATTGCCTTAGACCTAATTTTCTCTTGAAGAGAATGCATTGTACACATAGGGCTATTCACCTTCTCATTTTTGGCATCTAACTTATTCGCTCCCATGTGATCGAAAGAGGTAAGACTGCAACACAGGTATTCTCAATTGCCCCCTGGAAACTGGCATCACAGCTAGGTACCTGAACTAGGAGCTCAGGCTGAGAAGGGTGCCTAGCCCCGTGAACATGCTTATAAGACACTGTTCTGTGGGAAAATTACCACTCTGCCATTCAGAGGCTCCATCTGCAAGCAATGTGATCGCAGTGCAAATGTCTATTGTCAGACACTTCCCTGCATCTGTAAATAGAGAACAGGATTCTTGGAGTCTTCACAATGAGAATAAGTGTTATCCAGGATGAGCAGTATAGGCAAGGTGCCTTCTTGCCAAGCACCTTCTTAGCAGTTTTTGGTAATCCCAGAGGTTATTGGGCAGTCTGTGGAACTTAACTCTCTGATTTTGATATATAGCTGCTAGAATAATTCAGAATATGGACCCAACAGCTGAACCTTGCACGGATTTCTACCAGTATGCCTGTGGGGGTTGGCTCAACCGGCATGTTATCCCAGAAACTAGCTCCAGATACAGCATTTTTGACATCCTGAGAGATGAGCTGGAGATCATCCTGAAAGGTAGGAATGAGGTTGCACTGTTTTTTCTCTTTGGTTATACATTTGTGTTTAGTTTCAGATGTTGTCTACTGCACATTATACAGAGAAATCCTCTAGTCCTTTAATCTCTCCATCTCTTACTACATCAATTTTGTGAAAACATTCTATTCCCACTGAAATATTAGCCATAGGTGATTTGGTGCTGACTTCAGAGGGAGCAGGACAAGCTATGCGTGTGTCCTTCTTCTTGACACTTTCTTTTTTTTAAGAGCACTTTTAAAGAGCACTCTGGTTTCACAGTAGTTGAAGCCTCAGATAACAAGTGTTTATCATAGCCCTGAGTTCTCAGTCATTTCTATGGAAAGATCAAAGCTCTCCAGGGCAAAATCTCACTGCAACGGTTCCTTCCCCAGGTGTGTTGGAGACTTCAGATCAAGGGGACAGAGAAGCATTTCAGAAAGCTAAAATACTTTACAAGTCATGCATGAATGAGAGTGAGTCTCTTCTTGTTCCATTGGTATTCTTGTTCAATATCAAACCTACAGCTCAAGCAAAAGTCGAGTCAATAGCTGTCTAACCCACATGGCCTTACCTGGAAAGCTGATCTTCATTCAGGTGAATAAAGATGCATTGATGCATCTAAAAGGCTTAGTATATACATTCTGGGACACCAAAAGGATGAATGTTGGTTATCTACCTCTGTTAATAATGCAAAGCCTTCTTTTCTGGATGAAGAAATGTGCCCCATTTCATTCTTTCCAAAGGCTTTCAATCTAAATCCCTACAGAAGTGAATAGAAGAATTTTCACTGCTTTTCCCGAAAACTGGTATAGTAGACAGATGATTTCATGGTATGCAGATTACTCTTATTCTCCGCCAGGACAGATTCAGTTGCAGAATTAATATGTTAAGGACGTTACTTATTTTTCTTCGTCTTTTTCAATGAAAAAAAAATTACAGTACTTGTTTTTCTTCTCTCAGGTCTTATAGAGCAGCGAGATTCATTGCCTCTACTAGAGGTCTTAACGATGGTTGGAGATTGGCCAGTGGCTTCTGCAGACTGGAATAACACCAAAAGTAATGCTGTGCCCTAAACAGTTCAGTAGTGTGTAGTTAGAATTATTTATTGCACTAACTAGGCTGATGTCATTGTATTACATCTTGAGTTTTATTTTTTTCTTGATAAACAAAAGTTCAGGGTATTGGACACGTTTAGCATGCAGTGACCTGTGTAAATAAGATACTATAAATATAATACCTGTATTAGAAGATCTCATTCATGAGCACTGGACATTTTAAGATGTTATTAGGAAAGCTGAAGGATCAATATGAAAAAGGAAAAGAAAAGGAATATAATCGATATAGCTATGTTCTAATACTTGCATATTAATTAGAGTTTGCAGCATCATTGCCTAACTAGGCAAGGTCAAGGTGCTTTATACTATGTATGGGCATTTATAAAGTAATCAGTAAATGATTAATATATCATTGAAATAGGTAACACCTGTGAGAATGCTGTCTAGCCATTTCTAGCCACTCTGGGAATGTCCTGTACAAATATCTTCACATGATGTCCTGTCTGGTATTAAAAGATTTCGGCAATAGGCTTGCAGGTTATACAGCTTAATCAGTCCTGATATATATTGATTCATAATGAATATTTTCTCTTTTATCTCCCAGAGTCAAATTGGAGCATGGAAGAAAAACTCTCCATAATGAACTCCAGATTTAACAAACGTGTCCTGATTGACATGTTTGTATGGAATGATGACCGGGATTCCAACAGACACATCATTTATGTAAGAAGGTTGCAGGGCATTATTTATGTATCCCAAAATCATACTGGATAGTTATTTGCACTGCACACAGATTAGCTTTCCATAAATCAGTGGGTATGCACAATACAGGCAAAATGTACACAACAGTTCTGTGTACCCCAAGCTGCAGATCTATCTCAAATTCACATTGGGAGACATTTTGTTGGTACCATAATTTGTTTTGCTTTTAATGAAATCTGTGGACCTTTGCTGATTTACAGTGTTTAAGGATTGTAAAGTCTTACGATTTGCAAAATGCTGGCGCAGTGTAATATATAGCAGGATACCATATGTTCTTAAAATAGGTACATAAATAATATTTAAGAGCTCATTCATGTATTCTTACGCATGAAGTCTAGTCCTGGAGTGAAGCAGCTTCTTTTCTAAGTTGCTCAGATTTATTCTGAAATCTCAGTGGTTACTGAAAGATCTGCTTAATAACTCATGCTAAGTAGCCATCCTGTCCTTATCTAGAAATTCAGAGAGAGAGGTTATAGCTTCAATCTCACCCCGGTTTCTAGAAGGCTAACATTCTCCTTGATTGTTTGGTAAGAGTGTATTCTTGGTCCTTTTGACACTGAAAGGATGGCATGTGCAGCATTTCGTGATGCCTTTCAAGGACCCCTTGACAACACCAGTTCCTGTTCATCACTAACTATAGAAATGTGTATGATTTCCTTCAGATTGACCAACCTAGTTTAGGAATGCCATCCAGAGACTACTACTTTAATGGGGGCAACTATCAAAGGGTATGTATTCCTTGTAATTTGTTTACAGCATGCTACTAAAACAGCTTTTATTAATTATCCCTGTGTTTTGGAAAACTCAAATATATAAACTTTCACGTTATGTAACAATCAGAATTAGACTGTGACATTCATTGCTACATTTCTTCTACTTATACCAAAATTTTGTATGATTTACAGAAGAAATGAAAATGTGTAGGAATATCAAGTCTACCCAGAGTTAGCTAATTCATATGGACAAGAAGAGCATTGTGGGAAAATAAAATTGGCATATTTCATAGCTTAAAACAATTTCTAATTTTGAAGCATAGGCTCACATCTTTGCTGTAGATTATTTTGGATTCACTTACATCTAAATCTAAAGCCTCTGGTTCTGGCTACTATTATACAAGATACTGGAAAGAGAGATTATAGATATGATCCAGTGTGACAATTCTCCCATAGCTGGGCATACAGTACCTCAAAATGCATTTTGCTAAACTGCAAAATATACAAAAGTTTTCACATTTTCAAGTTTTTACATGGAACAGATTATCAGCTGGTGAGAATCTGCTACTCTTTACTCTTTTTTTTCTCTTTTTTTTTTCTTTTTTCTCTGTTCTGCCAAATTACATGGAAGCTATGAGAGGCCCCATTCAAGTTGCTAATAGTTAGTAAACTGTTGCAAACATAGCTAGAAAATTTATCAGTTTCCAAACTGAAAATACTGCTGTAGTACTTTTTATTTTCTCAGTTACATCATGTTAATAGGGAGGATTTGCAACCTAGCATTAAACTAATTTTCCTAACGTGAATAGAAAGGAATACAGGGAAACAACAATCAGCATTTCACACTCTGTTTTGTCTAGCGGTTGTAAAGATAGATCCAAAAGTCAGTGAGACTAGTGGGAGTCTTTCCACTGACTTCAATATATTTGAATATATTTCCAGATATAATATAGTCTAAAATACAGTGCTATGAAATTTTGAAAGGACTGTGTTTTAACACCTCTTTTTTCTGGCTACCTTTGTAAACTGTCAACGTCTTGAGTTGTACATTATGAGACAGATTAACAGCCTCCACATATAGTTGCATTGGGAACAGCAGAGAGCTGCTCTGAAGTGCGCTGGTAGCTGCTGGAAGTACGATTCTCTTCTGCAATTTTCACTTTTATAGTAACAGTTATATTAGAAAACAGGGATATTTATACATCCCTGGACACAAGTCAGACTTAGAAGGACTTGTAGGAGGTAAAAAAGTACAATACATAGAGGATCCCAAATTAGCAAAAGAAAACAAGTAGTATTTAATATAGTTTAAAGTTAAAAGTAGAAAAAGGGGGGGGGGGGCTAAGGGTTTGCTTTTAATCCTAATGAATAAAGAGGAGAGACAACCCCTTTTTATTTGCTGTTTAACAGCTCACTTCCCATAAACAATGAACCAAACTCTGATGACCTGTACTCCCCCTGTGCTTAGTCCAGCATCTTTTGGCAAAACTCCTACGGAAGCCTGTGGGAGTCTGGCCTGATTAAGGCCTCCGCATTCAGCCTAAAAACATAAATCATCATCATGGAGCTGCCCAGACTCCATTTCACAACAGTTATTGTGTTTATCTGGTTTCCAAGGTCTATGGAGGAGGAAAGGATAATAGGTAATATTAAGCCTTCCTATATCAAAAAACTGTACTCCCTCAGCAGCCAGATATCTTCCCAAGGCCCATTCTGAGGCATAAATCACAATTATACCTTCCTATTAGAAATAAGCAAAGACATCACTAGGAACCATGAGACAGAGAGCTTTTCTTTCAGCCACTGAAAACAAAGGGTTTGGAGGATTTATGGTATTACTGTCTGAGAACTTTAAACTTCCTTTTTTACCATGATGTTTTAGCTAGGAGGGATCACAATTCCCATAGTGTATTTCAAAACACAGAGCCTTCTACTCAAGTAGTAATTTTAAACCAGAACTCCAGAGAGTTGGATTACGTAGGAAAACAGGAAGTGTTGCTTTCACTACATATTTAGAAACTGGCAACTGCATTGTGATGTATTCAAGGATCAATCGAGTTCCTAGGTATTGCAGTAGTATCCACTATAGTAGAAAAAAGACAAGAAAATGGAGTGGAGAGGGGTTGCAGTGGCGATAAGGACAAACGCTGTGCCATATCATTTGCACTGGGCCAAACTTTTGCACAGGACACTGTAAAAGCTAAAATAACATGAATTGATAGCTGAATGAGGAATGACAGACAGCATACTTTTTCCTCGTGATGCTAGATGCACTGGTTTTATTTCTTGTATGTGCAGGTCAGAGAAGCTTACCTGCAGTTCATGATCGCCATTGCCAAAATGATCCGAGAAGACAAGAATATGTCTAAAGATGATTCTTTCGTCCAAGAAGAAATGTCAAAAGTTATGCAGCTTGAAACCGAGATTGCAAATGTGAGTATAGAAATCAAGAACTTGTGAGGATGCTCGGGGAAAAAAGAGTCTCTCTTGCTCTTTTGTGCAGAGCTTTTCAACACAACACAAAACTCATAGCCTAGAAGAGAGCAGGAGGAAGGAGACTTGCTATGGCTTGGGCAGCCCAGAAATCAGAGCTTCTGTATGTATAATTGTGTCTGTAATTATGTCTACTGTATACACTGTTACTATGTCTGTTCTAGTTCCAGCCATGCTTATTCTTGGGAGCTTGCTAAAGCAGGATAACCCACCTTCTGCTAAGCATACACTATGGTAACCCCATGGCCAACTTCCTTGCATCCTCAGTAATTTTAGGGTGCTGTAGACTCCTGAAAGCATTGTCTTCTGTTCTGAAGAGGATGGAGGGAATCTCTTGGCTCAACATGCTACTGAAACTTCTTATTGAGTTAATCAGTGGGGCATGAATTGCTGTACTTAAATGTAGAAAGCAGCACTGGACACCATTAAGTGAACTTTATTTTCCAAAAGAAACTGGTTTATTCTCAATATTTAACTGTGTATATGTGCATTCATGTGATTCCATCCATTGACACTTGTGTCAGTTGATTCTAGTAATAACCTTGTGAATGTCTTCAGGCAACTATCCCTGCAGAAGAAAGGCATGATGTGACCTTGTTATACAACAAAATGACTCTGAAACAGTTGCAGGAAAAGTTTGCATTGAATGTAAGTGTTTAATGAGCAGTCCACTACTTTCAACCTCCTCTTATTATCATGTCAAATTGGTAATGGCTTTGTGAATTCATCACAGTGATGCAACAAAAATGGCTATAAAATAATTTCAATTCTTAATCTTAACAGTCCTTTAAAAAGCCTTTTTTTGCTGAACAACACTATATCTACAGCATTTGTTGTATTTTCTGTCTCTACACCAAGCAGGAAATGAAATCGATGAATCCCAAGGAAAAGGAAATGCTTTAAAGTCCTATGCATAAAAGAAACAAGTGAACCAGGTCTTTGATTCATAGTGGTTCCAAACCAAATTCTGGAAATAACATGGCCAAGCCTCCAAATAGTCAGTCAACATAAATGTGAATGCAGTAAATTCTTCCAGCACGATACTCTAAGAGCAGCTGGACCTCAGTGCTGCTAGAACAATAAGCAAGGATGTGTATATGCAGTAGGCTTGCCCTACTCCTATATAGGCTTTACGGCCAACAGTAGAAAGTACAGTCCCAGAGAATGTAGAAAGGCAAGACAGTTATAAGGCACTGAAACACCTGACGTCCGTGTGTCTGTCTCTTTCTCTGCCTAGGAGTTTAACTGGACCTTCTTCATCCAAGGTGTCATGTCTTCAGTAAGTGTTCAGGTCTACCCAGAAGAGGAGGTTGTTGTATATGGAATGCCCTACTTGCAGGAGCTGAAAGCAATTATCTCAAAGTACTCAGCAAGGTAAAGAAAGTGGGGAAGATCTAGCACAAGAGTCACAGAAGTATTGCAAAAATGTAAATTACTGGACCCACCTTCTAGTTCTGCCAGAGCTTCTCTGAGAAGAAATCATACCACTTTACTGTAAAACAGGGGTAATGCTTCACTTTCTCCAAAGGGCACTAGAAGAAAAATTCCATTAGTATCTTCTGAGATCTCATGTACTAAGCATCTCATCTAGTTGGTGAATGCTTAGAAAAGGTTACATCATTGGAATAAAAAATAGGACATGGGGTTTAGCTCTTGTTACACTCTAGAAGGGAAAAATAGGAAAAAATAAGAAATGTAGTCCCTGAACAGACCAGGAAGCACAGTCCTCAGTCTGGATGCCTTTACAGTTAATCAGCCTGTGCTAAATAACAGCAAGACACCTGTAGATGCTATGAAACTGATGACTGGCAGCAATTGCTTGCTTTATCATCTCTGTTCAAAATTAAGATTCCTCTCTGACTGGCTGCACTGGAGTTGCTTTTTAAAGGGGATTAAACTCAACTTTGCTTTTCCACACAGCACCATCCAGAACTACCTCATTTGGCGACTGATAATTGATCGAGTCAGTAGCTTGAGTCGGCGTTTCAAGGATGCTCGGGCCAGCTACAGGAAGGTATCTCTTCTCTTCCTAAAGAGACCATAGACTGTAGTACTGGGGGAGACTCTCTGTCACCAAATCCAGTCCTTGTCAATACAGTGACATGGTTATGTCATGTAATCCCAAAACATAAATTTGAGAAAAGAGCAATCACAAGAATGGAAACCTTTGTCTTAGGTTAGCCTCCTCTTTAGGCAGTGACTTGGCAGAGGATCTGGAAAAAAGTTGTGCAGGCAGAATTAATGCTATGATGTTGTATATTCCAGGCACTTTATGGGACAACACTGGAAGAAGCCCGCTGGAGGGAGTGTGTGAGTTATGTCAACAACAACATGGAGAATGCAGTGGGAGCATTGTATGTCAGGGAGACATTTGCTGGTGAGAGTAAGAGGATGGTATGTAGTATATATACCCTTTATGCTACTGTACCTTTTTCATCTAGTCCAACCACACTGCTCAAGTAGGGTCACCTAGATCAAGTTGCCCAGGACCTATCCAGATCTCCCAGGATGCATTTCTGTTTCCTTTATATACCCTAAAGATGTGGAGTGTATTTTCCAAAGGCATCTTTAATCAAAGCCATCCTGAAGGGCAAGAGCCATGGGCTCAGGCTGTGGTGTGAACAGTCCATTCAGCTGCCTCATCATGGGGTTCTTCATTACTACCACTACCTGTTTCATGTGAACATCTGTGTAAAACTTCCTAAGAAATATTTGTAGCAGTTATTCACCACTTCTCCCTGCATATGTACCAACAGAGCCAAATGATGACAGAAAAATCAACTTTCTCTGCTTTTTGCAAGACACAATGTATTCCATCAAGAACAAAAATATATGGGCAACCATATGATGATATAATTTTGGTCAAATTCCCTGAAAAAAGAAAGTAATATATACTCCCAAAAAACTAATTTTCTCTATTTCAGTCAGAATCTTCCTTGGCTCCATATTAGCGCCTCCAGTTAGTATCTCGCAAATAAAGGAGTGTCCATCAGCCAGGAGTTACAAGGCATAAGAATGCATTTTAGAACAAACAATTTGAAGAGATCAGCTTTCAGTAGGAAGCCTTTCACCGAGAAAATAGCATGTCAGTGATTAATTTCTTACTGCCTCTTCTTTAGGTCCGAGATTTAATAGACAAAATCCGTGAAGTGTTCATTGAGACCCTAGATGAGTTGCAGTGGATGGATGAGACATCTAAAGAAAAAGCTCGTGAGAAGGTCAGAGATAACAAGCAACTTCAGTATTCTGTTGTGAATATGAAATCTTTGGAATTTTGTAGAATCCCTATTCCCTAGGAGAGAAAAAAACATTAATGTTCTATGGACATTATCCTTTGTTATCCTTTGTTAAATTGGCTTTTTCTTTTTAATCCTTCATTAGCTCACAAACATTTTTAATTCCTTTAATGAGTCCTTTGAACCAAGTTAGAAATGAGGAGAAAAGATGATACCCTACATATCAACTAAAATGACAACTGAATCCAATCCAGTCTCCCAAAGCAAACTTTTCACTGACTTTAGGACCATCGGCACTGTTGCAATAGCAAGAGAAAAGGGATTAAATAAGGGTTAAGCCCAAGTCCTGTCATATGGTGCTTTAGCAAGTCTGCCATAGTGGCTGAACTTATTTGGAGATGAGAGGAAGACTGTATGTTGCCTGGGTTTTTTTAAAAAAAGTCTCACTAGGTAATAAGGTGCATTTTATCAAGGTCTGAGTATATCCGATATTTGTATCCAAATTCTCACAAACAGGTGGGAATTTGAACCGCCATATGCATTGAAACTTTAAAAAATTACAGTTAAGAGGAAACATTAAACTCTCTTTTCTTGTAGGCAATGGCAATTAAAGAACAAATTGGCTATCCAGATTATATTTTGGAAGATCATAATGAAAAATTAGATCAGGAATATGCTAATGTAAGTATGCTATATGCACCTCGATAAGTGCATATAATAGCCTAAACATACTGCCGTGCTACTTAAACTAATTATACCTATGCAACTGCCATTTCCAAATGGATGGACAGCATACGAACTTGATTGTGTTGAATATTTTATAAATAAATGCCTGCAAAGTGTTAACTATTGATACATTGCAATCAAAATAGTTTTAGAAGATACATTCAGTGGCACAAGGAATTCCTCATTCAACACAGCTTATTAATCTACTGGGCTATCTATTTCTCTAGTTAAACTTCAGTGAGCACAACTACTTTGAAAACATCCTGGAAAACCTGAGAGCTGGAGCCCAAAAGAGCCTGAAGAAACTTCGAGAGAGAGTTGACCAAGATATGTGAGTGTCCGGACTGCACAGTACATACACATCCTAAATTCTGAAATAACAGTGAATAAGTTTAAGTAATATGCTGTGGATAAGTGAGAAAGTTTATGTTTGTGATCTTTTAATGATAAGTTTTTTCCTAAAATTAAACAGTTCTTCACATGCCTTTAGTGGTAAGGGTTCATCCAGTTCTCTCAATCTCTCTAATCCTTCATCGAGCTGCTTCACATTCATATATTGCATTGAAGCTACTTAACACAAAAGCAGTGACAGAGCTTTCCAGCAACTCAGCAAGGAGGAGGTGAATTAACCATTATTATGGAGACTCTAAAATTAATAACCAGGGAAAAAAAAAAAGCTTAAAATACTCTCGCCAAAATTCTATTGGAAATAGGCCCAATCTTGGGGAAATTGAGCCCTGGATCCAGTTCAAGACCATCTTCAGTTTGCAGCATCCAGTGATACAGCACTTGAAGTTAAATAGCTGCATTTCAAGCCAATCACTTCACAGTCTGCAGTTAGTAAGGTGTGAATGTATTTTTCAGGAACTCATTGTCGTAAGTGCAGGTTTGGCTGCTTCATGATCCATTTTTTGTCTCCCTGAATGCATCCTGAGTGAATCTTAGATCTTGCTCCTGTATTTGTCTGGCTCTTGCCTCGCAGTTTTCCACTTTTAGACAGAGGCTAGCGCTTGTTTTAAAACAATCAAATAAAAGTTGCATGTTTATAAATTAAAAGAAACAGCTTCAAAATGAGCAGTAGGCATTGCTAGCCAGTAAGAAGCGTTACTGCACAGCTTCACCAGGGCCACCCCTCCAGACCTTCAAATGTAGATGAGTTCCTGCCAAGTCTATGGCAGGAATATATCCAGAAGCACTGACTTGCATGTTCAACCACAAATGCCTTGCAATCTGACCTGATTCCTGAGCTATGAGCTAGCCAATCTGAATTTTTATTAGTCTAATTGGTAACCTGACTTGGACACCTCCAACACAGCTATCTGGCAAAGCTACTGCTGAATGCATTAGCGACAAAGACACTTGGGATGGGAGGCAGAAGCAAGGGAGTTAACACCAACTATATGTGTTGCTCACTAGTGTGCTTCCAGCCTGCGTGATGCTTATGAGAATGTCTTGAGACAAAGGAAAGCAAATTCCCAAAAGAATTTCAAACAACACCACTTTACAAAATGTAAAATAACACAGAGTTATTAATAAGCAAGCAAACAAAAACTCTCCGAAGGGAAGCACTGGTCAAGTTAATTGTTGCAAAGCCTGTTTGTCTTTTCTGTCCCTCTTCCTGTGACAGTGGTTATAACTCTCGTGGTGAGTTATTCATCAGTAATTCACTGGAAGTTTTTAAGTGTCTACTGTGTGCTCACATTTTGAGTTTTCTGATCAGTCAGCTAAATAACAGCATTTTTTCTGCTTCCTCATTACTTGACTGAACCAATCCTGAGGCTCTTTGTGGCAAAAATTTTTGCACAACGTTAGTTTTATTGATCCATGAACTCTGTTCTAGATCAATCTAGTGTGGCTGAAAGCATGTTTGTGGGAGTCTTTTAATGGATTTCTCTGTGCTCTGAATTGGGCCTTCTTTGCCTGGTGGTTTGGTGACATGTCAAATACCAGTAATTTGCACTTTCTCATGTAATGATCTGCAGCTTTCTAGTGATGTCTACCCAGATGCTCAGAAGGTTTCCCCAAGGAGACATAAAACCACTTATCACTCCAGATCATTGTTTAATTAATTACATTGAAGGAGAGCGTACAACTAAAATTGCTGATGTTATTAGCTAATTATTACAATTAAGAAAAAGAAGCCATTATTCACAGTCATAGACTCTTCTTTTATAGGGAGAAGAGGAAGGGTTAATTATTGCAAGCTACCCAGCCAGCTACAAACATTTCATTTCAAGCATGCCACGGGCAAGCTTATGGACCAAGACAGAATGTATTCTGACAACAGACTGGCTTTCAGAGCAAAACTGTCTTGAAAATTTCCAAAGTCTCCCCTCAAACCTAGGTGCTGATCCCTGCTCCCTCTCTATGCCTGTGTTACAGGAGGTTAGTGGCAATATCAGAACAACCTATTCCTGTCACTTATTCCTGTTCCCATGCTGTGCTAAGCCATCCTCTTTATTCTGCTAGACAGTCCAGGCTTTAAACAGCTTTTAAAAACTCCTGAAAGACATAAACATGTTCTGTATTTTTTAAGCAGGGAATTTGATTCAGTTCCAGAGTAGAGCACAAGCAATTTTGTCAGGGTAATTCAGCAACCAGGGCACCACAAGATACTGTAAGGACAAGAGGTGTGGGAAGAGGAATGTCTTACGTTAATGCTGCTGAATGTGTATCCCAAGTTCATGATTTCAGACTGTTATTGAACTGTTCAGTAAAGCAGGATGGCTGGGAGTGTTTGAGGCAGGTAAAAGAGAAGGAGGGGAAGAGAGACACCAAGAATAGTTCTCTAAACCCAGTAGAGAGAGTTTCCCAAAGTGGCTTACTTCAAACAAAAATTATTTATCAAAGTTAATACTCATTATCTATGAAATATCTGGATTCCAAATGTAGACACTTGCGTATTTCTGACTGCAGATTTGCAATGATTATGGTTATTCAGTTTTAATTAATATTTTTTCAACAGATAAGCTTGGTTCTAACTTCCAATTTGAGTAATTGCCTTCTGCTCCTCACAAAGTCCTCTAAATGCCAATTTTCTTTTTGGATGTAATACTATTCATTTCCTTTCTCCTATAGTGCTTAGGTGACCTGGTAAACAGCTACCACATTTCACCCTAATGTGGCTATTCAACACTGAAGCACAAAAATATATCTTGCTTTAACTTGGATTTCTCTTGCATGAAAGATGCCAATAAATGAGAGATCAGTTATTTCCTGGTATGAGTATCTCTATATGGCTGTGTCCAGTGGCATCCTTCTTCCCGACCCCAATCCTTTCCGTTTGTGCCACCTACAATTTTGAACAAGAATAATTCAATGAAGAGAATGTTTCCAAAAATTCATGGCTAACTTGCATTCAATATTTACTTTCAGATGGATAATTGGAGCTGCAGTGGTCAATGCATTCTATTCCCCCAATCGGAACCAGATAGGTAGGTTTAAAACCATTTGAACAGCTGTATGGAACTAATTAATCATTTGCTGTACCACAAGGGCTTGAATCTGCTATCCAGAGGCAATCCTGCCTCTGCCCTTATGGAAATTCTGAGCGAGGTAGACAGGCTGTTCTCTTGAGCAGTTGCTTTGTTGATGAATATTCAACTTTTTTCAACCTGGCAGGCACAGTTCATGTACTGTAATTGAAACAGCCCTATGTTTGAAAACCTGAGACACTACCTGCAACTATATGAGTGCCAGCTTCAGAGACTAGTGTGTGTTCGCAGTGTATTCTGGGTCGCTTATGCTCGTGTTTCCACGTTCCTGGTAATCATATGGGCAGCTCCCCATTTGCCATTCGTACAGACAGTACTGAAATTATTTTGGTAAGAGGCACACCAGATTAAAGAAACATGCAGGATGTCAGACAGGATGTCAGATATGTGAGATTTTGCACAGCTGCTAGCCTGACCTCTATTGTTCTTAGCAGGCAAAAAGATCTTCAGACATGGTAAGACATGATGAACCTGTCTGGCTTTGCACTCCCCATGCTCACTGAGCTCTGAGCTGGTGCAGGTGGCCAGAAGTCCGGCTCAAGGCTGTAGTTGCTGTTGCAGATTATTTGCTACTAATTGCAGTAAAAGCTACAGCCAGTCCTTCAGCCTTAATGGGGTGCTCCTGTGGCTTGCTGATACTATCGCATGTCATTTTGGAGCTATGCTTGTATTTAAAGTCAGACTCCCTATTTATTCACACTGCTTTTATGCTGACTGTAATCAGTTGTGAGCCAGTTTTCCAGGCAGAGAACTCAAACCTTGAAGACTGGTTCCCTCTAGAGCTTTTCCCCTACAAGCAGAGTGGAAGCAACTGGCTGAAGCTACTTGGACCCGAATATACAAGCCAAAATCCAAGCACAGCTACCCACATTAGTGTAGATGTGGGCTAAATCCTATTTCTTCTTGTCTCCAGTCTGAAGAAACTAATTTTCCAAACTACTTTCAGTACTCTGCTTTCATCTTACTGCAGTCTGTCTTACATTATTCCCCAAAACTGCATGGATAAAATCTGTTGCATAGTCAAAAGCCTTGTGTCTTTGAATGGAGTATTTGCTATATAATTTCAGTATGTCACTTTTTAGAGAATATCTTGTTAGAATGAAGTGTTTGCATCTTAATTTCTCTAGAAGCTTATTTGTATTTCATCTTACATACATAGGATGAAGACTAAATCCTATTGACTCTATTTGAGGCTTTTTTCAGTACACTGAAGGAAGATAGATCTC